TTGGCTACCTCCCTGGACTTTTTTAGGGGGGAGGTAACAATGTTTAAAACAATAACAATAATAATATTTATATTTATAACAAGGTGCAATAATAATTAATGTGCAATACACATACACTTATTCTTCTTTTTTATTACTAAGTTAATATCAACTTGTACTTACATTTTCTTAAATATAGTTAAAAGAGATGAGCAATTTAAGATAGAATTCAGATGTTAACAGGGAATTTACAAAACAGGTTGTACACTGTAGTAATCAGTAGTTTATACTGGGTTTTTTGTTTTGTTTTGTTTTTAAAGTGTGCAGCTGACTGACACTGCTTGTGTTTTAGACTATAAGGAGTTATCAAACCAAACTCCTAGTGCCTTAATGGGATTTAATTTCATTATAAAAATGCTGTAAAGGGTGTAAACTTGTCATAATTAACGTGATAAAGTTCACAAAACCACCTCATTTTGAGGCAACAAAAGTTTCAGTTCATTCTGTAGGACTTTCCCTGTGTGCATTTTATTTTTAACTTACCAAAACAATTTCAATCCTAAGTTAATATACTGTGTTGTGTTGTTTGTGTTGCGTTGTGATGTGTCATATCGTGTCGTGTTGTGTTATATGTAGTGCCGACGTAGGACAGTTTTCCAATTTCATCGTACTACTGTACTATGTATGACTGTGCAATGACAATAAAGAGTTATCTTATCTTATCTTAACTAAGTTGACTGCATCTTCGATGTTTTTTCACTTAAATTATAAAACATAATCTGTGGCATTATTACACAAATGGAGCTTCCAATTCAGGTTGTGCCAGTAAAAAATTATTTTGAAACTATAGACAGAAAAACACTCGCATGAGCAGAGAGAAGCGTGGCACAATGAAAGACATAAAAATAGCTTGAAAATATCTCTAAATATATGCAAGTATTCCACTTATACAATGCAACAAGTCCTACAACTTTAACTGGTGTCCCAGAGCAAAGAGATGCATGTTTTTGCTCAAACAGGAAGGATCATTAAATAATTTCCAGAGTGAGTGAATGGAAAAAACAACTGAGGGAGGCAGAGTGACATGAGGGAGGAGAAGGGATGGGTGGGAGACAGATGAGGAGATGGTAATGCTCGAATCCAGCAGGTGACCTCATATATGGTACGAGGCTTCATTCCTCTCTGTCACAGCTTGTCATAAACAAGAAGACAGGATTTGGCATGCATCCACATAACACTGCAGCTTTGCCCAAGATGACAACTCCACACATCGTTTTCCGTGCAGCTGGCATTTCCCCCCTGTTAACGATGCCGAAGCTTTGTGACACATTACTATTCTTGGAGCTATAAAGGTTAGACATCTACTCTGGAGATAGTGTTCTCATTTCTGCTAAGAATGACACCTATGGAAGAAAATAGATCATCTATTAGATCCTGAAACTTCTCTTTAGCCGCACGTAGGGAATACATGCTGTGTTCTCAAACTGACATCTGCAGTGAACCCACAGAAGAACATTTTGGTTTAAATAGGTTGTTTCTATGGCATGATTGAGCCTTTCCTTTTGGCAAGCTCTCAGCTGAGCATTTTCAGCAGATTTTCTATTAACAAAGTGCAGTGTGTAAATGCCAATAAATACAAAAAATTAATCATGAAATGATTAGATTCCACGACAAGATGACACGAATTTGATGAATTGCTCTTACCTGTGTAGAGGGAGATGTAGGCCGAGTCTATCACTTCATATTTCAGACCAGGCAGGAACGGACGCCACTGCGTGTGAGAGCAGAGAGTGAGAGAAAAGGGACTGAGCGAGAAAAGTAAATGCCAACATGTTCAAAGTATACGGCGAGCACAAATCGTCCATCACTCTTTGCTGCCTGAGCTGTGACACTCTGTGTTATTGATCTCAACAACATCACAGGATCGATCTGAAGCGGGGGTTTTGTATAAACACACATAGTTGGAGACAGAAGAGGAAACAGAATAAAGAATGTAGGACATATACATCCTTACAAAAGGTGTAAGCAAGGAAAGGAAACGAGAGGAGAACAACAAACAAAGAAAATAGACCACGAACAAAGAGACAACATGGCTGTATGGATAAGACGGGGATGAGTAGGTGTAGAAAAACGATGTAGTAATGACCTGAAAACAGCAGCGAGAGAGAGAAATAAAAAGGGGATGAGAAAGAGACAGAGAGGCAAGCTACAATTCTTTTAAATAGATTTCACAATTACCTCGTCACTTCTAGTTACCAAGGATATAATCACAGGAGACAGGTCATTTTCCAACCCTCAGCTTGAGAATACAAATATAAACACCCTCCTCGGGCTTATGCAAATGCCCCCAGTGTATGCACGGCATAAATAAATGCACACTGTTTTGGATTTTAGGGCATTTTATCACAAATGAAGCGCTGAGTGTAGCACCAACTTCTGAAATTTGAAAGGCATTTACAACATCTACAGTGTTTCTCCCTCTACCATATTTGTTCCTTTTTTTCTGGTTATTTGTCACATATTTGGCAAAATTAACCCAGATAAATAAAAACTCAGCTTTTAAATAAAGTTGGCTCCTAGAACCTGGATGTTGACGTATCCTCGGGCAGGATGCAGAACCCCAAGTTGAAAGTTAAAAGTGCTTAGGCCTAGAAAAAAAAGCATTCGTGTGAATGAGATTTGGAGTAAGAAAGCACTTCGAGTGGTCAAATTGAGTAGAAAAGTGCATATAAGTACCAGTCCATTTACCACTTATTACTTTATGGGGCGACAGTGGCTCAGGGGGTTGGGAAGCGTATTTGTAACCGGAAGGTCGCCGGTTCGATCCCTGTGCTCTCTGTCCTGGTCGTTGTGTCCTTGGGCAAGACACTTACCCTACCGCCTACTAGTGTTGGCCAGAGGGGCCGATGGCGCGACATGCCAGTCTGCTATAACCGTAGCTTGCTTCCACCAGTGTGTGAGAGTGAATGAATAGTGGCATTGTAAAGCGCTTTGGGTGCCTTGAAAAGCACTATATAAATCCAATCCACTATTATTATTATTTAACCTAATAACTGGTTCTGCCACCTTTGGCAGCAAGAACTGCAAGCGTCAAGCATTTCCGATAACTACCAATGAGTCTTTGACAAGGCTGTGGAGAAGTTTTCGGCCCACTCTCCTTTGCAGAAGTGTTTTAATTCAGACACACTAGAGGGTTGAATATTTTTTTCCCTTAAAACATAAAATCACCATTTAAAAACAGCACTTTGTATTTCTTCGAGTTATATTTATCTATTATTAAAATATATTGTGGATCTAAAACTTTTAAATGTGACATATATACAAAAAGTACAAAATCAGAAAGGCAGCAAATGCTTTTTCACAGCACTGTTTACTGTATGCAAGTGATACACGCCAATAAAGCATTGTTTCAGAAACACACATAACTGCAGACGTGCATGTAGTGCATTGAAGAACAATAAATAAGGACACAGGGTAACATCATGCAGAAAAGCACCAGGGGGTGGCCCAGCAGGCCAGCAAAGGCTTCACTATCTTGCTGTCATTTCAGGGTGATCGTCTTCAAGGTCAAGCCAGAAGGCTCCACAACCCAACTCCAGGAGGGACAAAAAAAAAAGCGGACACCACATATTCAGTGTAAAATGCAGCCAACCTTTGTTATTCTTACATGCCAGAACACACAGCAAAGCTCGAGTGATCATCCATTCAACACTAAAAAATACATAAATCAATCCTATTTCAAGGTTTACTTCCTTTTTCACATTACTTTTAATCACATGTCACAGTCTTATTTTGGAGCTCTTTTTCTGCGTCTCGCCACTTTGTTTCACTGTAGGCTGTAACTGCGTAGCTGCATTTCTGGAATGTATAATGAAAAACAACAAAAAACACAACAGACACGTTTGTTTTTCGCCAAAGAAATGCAATTCAAAATGGCTCAGCTTTACAGGTCAAAGCTGCAAGCGAAAGATGTTGTGAAATTTAAAATGAGAGACAATGACAGTTGATGCTTTGACTCGTGGCTCGGAGCGCGTTTCAGCAGCGCGTTTAGGAAGAATGTCAACACAACCCTTTCCAGAGCTCAGTGGAGCACAGCGCCGCTGATGTGTCATCAGCCTTAAGTGACGATGAGGCACACAACACTTGTGCCCCTGCAGGGCCCGTTTTCTAAATATGTGAACTTCTGTTCATCGGCTGACCTCATATATTTGCTAATGAATTCCTCCAACCCAACGAGTGTGCGTGTGCATGTGCGGAGACACACAGCATCTTTTATGAAAGCGTAAATGTAGTGTGTCTTGTGTGTACAGGTGTGTTTACTTTAAAACACCTTTGACGGGAAACAGCAGGAAAAAGCAGAGGTGCGCTCACTAGCTCTGCAAGTTCAAAAGAAAGGGGGAGGAAAAAAATCAATATCCAAGGGGAAATAATAAAAAGTACCAAGAGTGGAAACAAAATGACAATGAACAACAGGCAGTGTTGTTTCACACAGGCTAGACCACCGACTGATATATAAAGGTTTGCTTCTGTTTTCAATCTGATGATCAAAAGAGGGTTTTAATCCTTCTTAGTGTATGGTTTGATACCAAACTGAATAACACACACAGCTTTTGCTATTTGTTTTTATCATTCAATGATTAGGAGTTTATTGCTTCTGAGAAGACTGACTGCTGGCTGCTGTATTTGTTACCTTAATTCAATCAGTTGCACCAGAGCTCAACGCTCTATCGATTAAAAAGTTGTTTTGTTAATGTGACACATAAGTAGAAACGACATAATGAAAATAACTGACCGCTTCAAGTTTACATACAAACCACTTGAGATTTGCGGTCAAATAAAATGAACAGAAATTAATCACTTTATTTGTTTGATTTATTCTCGCGAATAATGACTTTTATGTTAGTACTAGCTCACCTTGGTACATTTAAAAGGTTGTCAATTTCCATTTGTTCGACTGAGGACAGAGAGGTTCATTGTGTTCTTTGTATAGCTCATCTCTCGTTTCCTCCATGTCGTACAAAGCAGAACAAGACAGATGTTAACAAGCCTGATGAAGCCTGCCTTAGGGGAAAAGGCAAGAAGAGAGCGGGACTACTCTGATGTTATTTGCAACCCCAATTCCAAAAAAGTTGGGATGATGTGTAAAATAAACACAGAACGTAATGATTTGCAAATCTTATGAACCACAGGAAGCATATGATATTTGTAAATTAAAAAAATATTAGCTCACTTAAATTTGATGGTGGCAACATATCTAAAAAAAAAAAAGATTACTATTATGTTTAATCCTCTTTTCTGTTAACAACAGTTTGTAACCATCTGGGAACTTAGCAGACCAGTTTGCTGGACTGTTGGAGGATGAATGTTATCCCATTCTTTTCGCTGCTCAACAGTCCTGGGTCTTCTTTGTCATAATTTTTCATTTCATGATGTATTCTTGAATGCATGCAAAGCCAGTTCGGCACTCATCTACTACAAAGCCATTCTCTTGCAACAGTTGGACTATTCAGTTTAGCAGCGTCTTGCTGAAATATGCAAGGACTTCCCTAAAGAAAAACGCACTCTTGATTGGAGTATATGCTGCTCTAAAACCTGTATATAACTTTCAGCACTGATGGTGCCTTAACCAGATGTGCAAGTAGCCAATTCCATAGGCACTAATACACAGGCTTTTAAAGTGACTGCTGATAACAACTCTTCTTTAGTCAAGGAAGATGTGACGATCATGTTTTCAAAAAAGAATTTCAAATTTCAATTCATTTGACAATTTAAGCAAGCTTTACATGATGGAGCTTTAACCAGCATTGGTGGATGGCACAGTGAATTTGCTCACAGACAGCGATTTCTGGAAGTGACCCTGAGCCCACGCAGTGATTTCCACGACAGGGTCATGGCTGTTTTTAATGCAGTGCTGCCTGATGGCCTGAAGATCACAGGGTCTGACGTCCCATATTGATTTTCGGCCTTGTCCCTTGTGCAGAGAGATTTTTCAGTTTCTCCTTATCTTTTGATGTTATTATGTACTGCAGAAGATGAGACATTCAACGTCTTTGCAATTTTATGTCAAGGAACATTATCCTGAAGTTGGCACACAATTAGTAGACACAGTGTTTTGCAGACTGGTGATCCTCAGACCCATCTATAGTACTAACTCTGCCTCTCTAAGATACTATTTTATACTCTAACATGTTGCTGACCTGTTGCCAGTTAACCTAATCCTCTGCAAAATGTTCCTCCAGCTGTTTCTTTTGAGCACAGTTTCCTTTTCCAGCTTTCCGTTGCCCCGTGTTCCAGAGTTGGGTGTGTGTAGACATGTTTCTGTCATCAAACTCCAAATGAGCTAACATTTTTCATGAAGTAGTAAAATGTAGCAGTTTAAACATCTGATATGTTTTCTATATTCTATTGTAAATTAAATATTGGTTTATGAGATTTGCAAATCTTAGCTCCACCAAGGATTTAATGTTTTTGGTAGAATTTGTATTCATAGGCATCATTCTGCCTATAAATACATTAGCTCGAAAAGTTTTACATGTATTCTGATAAAACTTTGTAGAGGTGTAGAATGGAGTCACATAAACAATCCATGAAAATTTGGTTTACATCTAACGAGGTCTTCAAGATTAACTCAATGATTTATTGGTTGAAAATTGATTAAAAACCTAACTGTGGTGTGTACTGTCAACATATAAAAAAAACCATCATGCCACATTTAACCTCTGACCTCTTCTTTGAGTTCAAAAGATTGATCTGAAGGTCAAAGTGATATTA